GCTAGTTTAGTTTCTGATGATTTTACTCCAGATCGACTTAGTTTTGGATCTATCCAAGATTCCATCAGCAATAAGATTAAAGTCCCCTCCTAGTATAACTTTGCCGCTCTGAAAAAATTGCAATTTCAAAAAAACCTCATCAAGAAAGCTGATCTGATTACAGTTGGGCGCATAGACAGATCCTAGCGTTACGCCATGCTGGTATGACTCCAAATCTTAATCCAGAACCAACTAATACAATTGTATTTATTGTTTATTTATGTTTATTTTTCTATTTTATTTTATTTATTTTTTAAAACGTAACAAAGTTGTGTACACAGGAACTGTAACGGTAAAAAACTACAAGAGGTTGTCTGCCAATTCAAGTTCAGCTGAATATGCACAGCAACGCTACACTATAAACACAATATTTCAGAAAGTTTAGTGAGGTCTTAATAGACCTTTAAATAATTATGTACCAACTATAAAGTGCCAGAAAGAGAACAAAACAACAACCCAGAATTATAATAGTAAATATTCAAAATTCAAGCATTTTAATTATAACCTTGACTTCCTTTTCTTATGAATTAATGAATAATTATGAATATGATAATCAAGCAATGAGCGAATTAATTAATCCAAAATCAAATTGATTAAGCGGCTGTTAAAATTAATTAAATTAAATTAAATGATCCCTCCTAAAGATTGGATTAATTAAGCTATCACCCAATCAAGTAGACTCTTGAAGTAATTAATCAGGTAAGAAGAATAAAAATAAAAATATATACTGTATGCTGAATAATCCTCCAGAAAAATTTATCTATGAATAACAATTTACTTAACAGGTAAACAGCTTTCCCTTAGTTCCTTTTCCCTTCCCCCTTCTTGAATAACTTCGAACTTTTATAAGGATCAGCCCTTCTGTTGTGGAGGTTATTAAACTGACTGGCACTTAAGACCAATAACCAGTGAAAGTGTTCTGAACAACAATAAGTTAAGATATAAAAAACAGTTACAGAGGTAGAAAATATTAAAAATAAAAATAAGGAACTCCCAACCGTTTAGGAAAAGATTTAGTCTCACCCAAACAAATAGGGCAAGAACCCTGAAACGGCTTTAAATCAGGGAGCGAAGAAATCTCAATAAGCTCTCCCCCCTTCCCCCAGCAAACAATACTATCAATTATAAATCTGTTCAGCAGTGTGTTTCATTTAACAGTTAGTAATGGGCATCTTGTCTTAACCAATAAACGATTAGCGTGGAGACCGAGATCTATCAGTGTGCATTGGAGAGGCAGTATCATGAGCATGTATTTTATTTGCTTTTTCTGTGGGCACGGGAAAGTCTGAATGTCTCTTGAAAGCACGGCGACCATTTTCAGAATTCTCTAGCAGCCTGAGCACAACAAGTAAGTCCAGACCAGAATCATCATCATCTGCATAGTGTACGACCCCATGATGTATGACTTGAAGCTTTCCTGAAGGAAGCCACTTATACCGCATATTTGCCTTTTGAAGCCTCAAGGTGGTCTCTTTAAGTGACTTTCTAATATTTAAAACTTCTGGCGGAATGTCAGGGAAAGCTAATATGTTCATGTCCTTGAAACGTAAATGCCCTGTTTTCCATGCTTCTCCCAGAATCTGCCTTTTAACCCTCCAGTCGGCAAATGAAACTAAACTGTCTCTAGAGCCTGCTTGTCAGGGAATGTTGGGGGGGGGGAAACGGAAGGCTTTTAAAATGGCCGGCGCTAGTCCTGCTTCCAAGTTTAAGATAGACAAAAGCCATTCTGTCATAAAATTATTAATATCAGAAGCTTCCTCCGCCCCTCCGGGGACCCCCGAAATTTAATATTGAGCTGCCTTGCTTGGGATTCCATCGTTAATAATCGCTCTCTGGTGTTTGCTTCTCTGTGTTTTAATTCTTGAACATCGTCCTTAAGGATCATGCTCATATAGACTGCCGTTTCAGCCATCGCTGCAGTTTTAGTGAGGGAAGCCTGTATTTCAGCCAGCTGTTCTCTTACCGGTTGCATGGAGAGCAGAGTGTGTTCCATCATACGTCTCTCCATATTTTCCATCATTTTAGACAGATCTGTGATTGTCTTAGCTTCTCCCGCCATTTCTTTTCCCCCGGCACCAGCTTCTCCGTGTTCTAAACGCTCTCCCCTCAGTTTGAAAAAAGCTTGTGATGATTTGTTTATATTTTTAGATGTGCATGAATTCGGTCCATTGTTTCTGCTCATTACCCGAAATCAAATTCTATTTTTATAGCTTATAAATTAGAAAATTGCGGGAAGGGAGGTGGAGCTGAGAGATTAGACCACCACCATCTTTCCTGGCGTCGTCCCACCCCTCCCCCGTGTGGAAACTTTATGACAGTAATCATCCCAAAAACGAACCACTAAATCCATCTGTCCCTTTTGAACCACCTTATTCAAAGCTTCATCAAAACAGATAAATGTTTGGTATTGTTTCAGCTGTTTCAGTAAAAGATCAGAAAAATATGGTGCCAAGACAAAAGCAACAACATACATTGCTTTTGTTTTTCCAAGATGAAACTGTTGGGCTATCTGGCTGTCTGAGAACATTCGCTTGAATAACTCACTGATGTTGTTACAAGAGTTAAATGACATCTTCTTCATCACCAGTTGCAAAGCCCACAGGCACTCTGCTGTCCTAACACAGTCCTTGATTACATAGGCAACCATTCTAGTTTGTGTGGTGGGTAATTCTTTGCCATTTTCATCACTCTGATCATGTTTTCCAGTTTTCGCAGGGGCTGTCTCTTCACCCTCTCTGGTTTTACTATCTAAACTTGTACTTGGCTTTGAACCTAAACATATTATGATGGACTGTTGACTTGATTTCATTTTCAGGTTCTTCTAATGTAATGGTCATTGTGCATGAGACACCTCATTCTCTGAGGTTCAAAGGTTTTGTAGCACACTTTACAATAACCTTTGCATTTGTCTCCAGCAACTGGTGATAGCCATGGAATGAAGTCAGGAAGAAGTTTGAAATCCAGCCACTGCATATTAAAAACTGTCCTCTTAGAAGCCATCTTCAAAATGTGGTTTCAGATACAGCCGTACACAGAACCACCTGCCTGACACCAAGATGTTAGCAGATTTGTTTTCTGGCAAGTAGGAACTTTCCAAAGCTGGGAAAGTTTC